GAAACGTCTGCCAGCATTGCCATAAGCCCCCGGGGAACAGATGGCAGCCAGCTGAAAGCCACTGCAGTAAACGTTTCATGTCCTTCAAGTCATCCAATGCCACCACGACCCCAGGAAAGAGCTGCTGCCATGTTCCTCACCTCAGGCCAGCTCTGCTCCGGGTATCCTCACCATCCTCGTGAATTTAAAGAAACAATTCATCATCATGATGTCTTCTCATTGTATTACTCTCAGAGAGCCAACTACTTTGGCAATGGACAGATCCTCCAATTAACACATTTTGTAAGGAAAATCATCTCTTCTTAACTAGGCCTGTCTGAGTACGGAGAGGGCCCCAGGAATCTCCAACCTCTTTATTTGCATTACACTTCACTCAAACAAACATTTACTGAACACTTTGGTTGCTTCATGAACCTCAGAGACTCGTGGCAGAAAGGCAAAATCCTTGTATTACTTCCTAGGATGAGTGAAAGCTCAAATGAAAGACAGAAACCAAGCAGATAGTGAAAATAACTTCTTTTCAGGCAATGTTCCATGCTCTGGAAAAACCAGGCAAAGTACAAGGTGAGAATGAACTAACAGAGGGTGGATGGGTCCAGGTTGGCTCTATGAGGCTGCTAGGAAAACTTTGTTATGATTCCATTCACGTGCCACATAAGGCAGGGTTTAAACCACAGGGGCAGAAAATGGATCCGAGGCTGCTGGAGGCTGGAGGCAGACAACATAGACACACAGGGAATTGTTAGATCACAGAAATGTCCCATGACTATGTTGCTGTTTGTGGCAAATGTATAGTAGAATTCTGGAGCTGCACCCAAGAAAGAGAATATTTTTAGTGTATTATAGCAACACCCTCCCTCCCCAGTCTTTCCCTTCCCTAGTATAGCCTTTTCATCTGTTTTAGAAATAGATTATTGACAAGGAGCTATAACGCTGTCCCCAAGGCTGGCATATGTTCCCTGGGCAGGAGTTTAAACAGCACTGGCGAGAAACTCAGGGCCTCAGAGCAGGTTCCCAGGAGATGACAGAGATGTTTCATCACCTGCCCTGGCTGTAGCCAGGTTGTGACAAAGCGTACCAGAGCATACGGACATGCTGGACAGTGTCCTTCAGCGGTGGGGAGAGTCAGCAGACCAGCCTTGGAGTTATAGCCAGCTCCTCAGAGAACCAGGAAAGGTGCCCGGACTGTCTCAGGTCACAGGTTGTGAATCACTTCCTTGGAGAGGAAAATCTGGCTTGAACTGCCCCCACCGTGTTGGGAATGCTCAGAACTGGGCAGTCACGAAAGGCCTTCTCATTTAGGCTTCCTCAGAGTAGAAGCTTATATCCAGCCCACCGGCTGCTTTGCAGACACCATCGCTACCAAGTCGCCTGTGGTTGTTTTCACTAACAAACCCTTTTGTACTAAGATGGCAGCCAATGCAAGAAAGACCCTGTTGGGGCTGCCTTCTTGCCTGCTGAGCTAGCACCCTCAGAAGGGACGGCTAGCCCCTACGGGTTCCAGGTCCCTGAGGTGTTCTAGCCTCTGGCCACAAAGCTTTGGGTAACCACTTTGATACTAAAGTGCCTTATCTAAGGCGTGTGCATTCAGAAGTGGAAATACATAATCAAAACATTCATCACAATGCTAGAACAACTTAACAACCTTCAATTGTTTGGAAACATAAAAAAAAAAAAAAATCAGTGGCTCAGACTGAGAATATCAGATTCAATAGATGCAGGTTCAGATTTAAAAGCAACAGAAACAAAAACTTGGCTGCAACAAGGAGGCTTTCTGAGTCTTATAAACAGCATTTCTTGTTGGTCCAGAGGATGAAAGGCTTTGTTTCCCTCCCCTCGGGATGTTGCCTGATGTGTGCAGGGTGCAGTCTCCCCGGCTTTGTGTATCGCAGGCCGGCTGTTTATCGCCTAGCCAGAATCTTTCTCCAAGAGCTCTGTGCTAAGTATAGACACTGAAGACAGCACGCAAGTGTGAAGGCAGAGGGTGTGCGGGTGCTTAAAAGATGGACAAGAAGGAGGTGAAAGAGGAAGCGTGAAGACCAATGGACAGCTTTGGGTTTATAAGGCTCTGGCTGATTGTGGTTCATTCTCTTCTCCATAATGAGCAGCACAGTGCCTCCCACTGCAGATGACTTCACGGATGGGTGTTGGCGGATGAGCACACTGCAGGTGGCCATTGACATTCTCAGCCCCAAACCTAAATCCGCAAACAGTCGGACCTAGTGGCTATGACCTTGCTCAAAAAAACATGAAAACAGAAATCAAAGTGGGTTGCTCCTGTCTGTTAGACAGTCATCAGGAAGTGATATATCAAGCACAGAGCTGCATTCTGGAACAGTCTCATGAGTCAACGATTAATCAGTAGCCTTGCAACCGTTATTTTTTTTTTTTTTTTAGCAGTGTGTAGCAAGCTTATTGAGCTGTTAGGATGATTATCTCAATACATGAAAACAAGCACAAGCATTATGTGTTCATCCCCTCATGCTTGTAAGATGATGGGATAATAAAATAAAACTTTCTAAAATTTCATGAAACTTGTGGTATAATACTGTTATTTAGAAGAAAGTTTGTGTGTATCTGTTGTAATGCTCAGGGTGAAAGATGATCATATTCAATTGAGTTGCTATTTCTCAAAGGTTTATAGGCCAAGGGTATTTTTCATTCATTCATTTATAAACTATTTATGAGTTCCTGTAGCAGACACTCTCCACTAGTCAGATAGATAGGCAAGTTTAAAACCACATTCATAAATATCACAATAGAGAGTGAGGCACCCTGGGCACTATGGGAGCATGTAGGAAGAACACAGCAAGCTTGAAAAGGTCTAGATAAAGATCACTGGGGCAGCTGTTGCCAGGCCAGCAGATATCAGAAAAGAGGTGTGTGTGTGTCCACGTGTGCCACCGTCTGCTGTGGAAGTCAGAGGACAGTCTGAAGTAGTCAGTCCATCCCTCCTACCCCATTCACCTCGGGCTCACTGACCATGAAAAGCACCCTTACGCCATGAGCCATCTTGCTGGCCTGGTTGTAACATTTCTTCCTCCCAGGTTTGGGACCGCTCTAGAAGGTGCATCTTAACATCTCTTTCTCCTTGGGACTGCTCTGATCAGAAGCTGTTCATGTCAAAACACGCATAGCAGCTATACTCCCAAGAAAAGAACCTCTACATCTTTGAGATTGCTTTTGAGGCTTTCATGTTTGAGTATCAACAACTAACTTTAATTTAATAATCACTACTGGTTAAAATTATTTGAATACTTACAAAATCTACCATATCAATACCATCTGTCAGTTATCAGCAATGAGATTCTACTAGTGATCAGGGTTATATGGTTTTATTTCAGGGACAAACATAAAGGCTTTTCTTGATCTATCATACTCTTTGGTTCTGTGGGTGTCTTTGCTAGGCAGGTTACTAGATCTTGTCATACAAGCTTAAGGGCAACTGCTTCTTCAGACACCACTGCTCAGTATTGCTAGAGTAGGAGGCCCAAACCAGCCTTTTCAATGTTAGAATTAAGCAGTGCAAAATCGAGCTATATTTCAGACTTTATTAATATGGTTAAGTCATACAGCTCAAAAGAATAAATTCTATGAAAGTCGTTGGCAGTAACAAAAAGGAATATAAGTGATCTCTCCTATGTGAAGTTATTTATCTACTCAAAACATACCTGTTACATGCCTTCCTTCTCTTTGACGAATGCAGTGAATAATAGACACTAAGATATAGCAGCAATAGAAATAAGCAATGTTATGTCTCACAGGACTTACATTCAAATGAGAGCAGGGAATCAGAGATGGCAGGCGCTTAGTGCCAAAAAGTAAGGAACTGGGCAAGGATTGAAGGTTTCCATAGGATGGTTAGGAAAGATGACAACAAGAAGGTACCAGTTGTGTGGAAGGCTAACAGCATGCCACATAAGGGACCTTTGTTGTGTGGACACAGACAGAGAGAGGAGGAGAGAGGAGAGAGAGAGAGAAATCCAATGTAGGGGACAGCTAAAAGAGATAGTAGCCCAGGATTGCAAAGGATATTTTGATTACTTCTGCTGGAGTAATGGAACACATAATTTGAAATTCAAAATTAATTAATAAATCTAATGGGAAGAAACTCCAGCACAGAACAAGCAACATATTAGTAGAAGGAAAAGGAAATGGTATATAAGAAGGCCAGTTTTCAAATGGGGTCCACTCTTCATCATTGTAACTGATTTGGTTGCCATGCTTTTCTAGTTTTTCTCATTCTGACCCCAAAGAAACATGCAGAGTTAAAACTGCAAAACTAAACCCAAAGTAATGAGCAGGAGGGAACAATGAAAAGAACGTCACTGCTGTCCTTAAAGGGCACAAATGTTAATACTGAAATAGCAAACCAGGCCTCAGGGTAGTTCTAAAGTCCTCAAGTGCAGTCTGTGGGTTTACAGAGTGCGTTCTGCAATTAAAGACAATGCTGCTGAAGTTCTGCGTGTGCGTGTCTCTTCATGGGGGTGCCTTTTCCGCCTCTGATAAAAACCGTCCTGTGCTTTGTGATTGGAGCCACATCATCAGTTTCACAGCATCATCAGTTTCTTGATGTATCTATTTCCTGATTGTAACAGCATTAAATGATCCTATCCTTTTCTCTTTGAGTTATCAGTCTTTGTCAGTGCTTCATAGTTTTACATTGTCGCTTTTTGTAACCATTTTCCCAGGTCACAAAACATCCTTAAATAGATCCCCCAAGCAGCCCGAGCTGTTACACAATTATATTATTTCAGTATTAGTCTTTAGAATCACTGCTTTATACTAGGTTGTTTTTTGTTTTGTTTTGTTTTTATGGAGACATATTGAAGACCTCGTGTGCAAATGTCATTTTGTGGCAATAGCCACAGTTAACCACCACCGAAGAGGGCCAGCCTAGTCAGAGTAGTAAGCAAGCAACACACACATACACACGACTGTATGAATTACTTTAAGAACCAAGTTCAACCAGGCACTTCATGCACGTATGATTTACTCACGGAAGAAAGAACGGGGCCCTCCTCCCTTCCTTCTAATAATCATAGCTGTTTCTTACTGTCGATGAGGTAACAAAGTGTATCAGATGAGTGCTAGGCGTACAGGTATTGGATAGATTCCATGACAAAACCCCACTACTTATCAGACTCCTGCAAGAAGAAAGGCTGGCCAAAGAAGACTTCTGAGCCTCATCCCCAGCCCCACCCCGTAAGCTGAGGCGCACAGGGCATCTCTCCCGGTCGCCTTCCGGTCCTGCAGAGGGAACTCTCCCGCACATTCCATCCCCAGGAAGTCCCTTGCTCCCAGTGTCCGGGGGCTGGCACAACGCGAGCTCCAAAGAGTACGCTCCGCCCGCCCTCTCCTCCCCAGAGCTCCGCCAAGTACGATGTACCCCGCGCCCCAGCTCTCCTGGCCGGGACCTGCACCCTTCGCGCCCCAACTCGGCTTCCCTCTGCTCCGCCGCCAGCTCACCCGGTCACCCGGGAGAAAGAAAGTGCCAATCTCTGGCCCTGTGGGGAGGGGCGGGGCTTAGCGCGCCGGGCGGGGCCTGCTGCCTGGGCGGGGCTTGGCGCGCCGGGCGGGGCGGGGCCTGCTGCCGTGGGCGGGGCTTGGCGCGCCGGGCGGGGCGGGCTTGGCTCGGCGGTGGGCGGGGCCTGCTGCCGTGGGCGGGGCTTGGCGCGCCGGGACCGACCGGCGAGCGTGTGCCCGACCCGGTCTAACTGTCGCGCGCGTGCCCGCCCGCCCCCTCAGGGGCCGCGGGACAAGTTTGACTCCTGGCTTGGCGTCGCCTGGCGGAGAGGCGGGGCTCGGGCCGGGAGGGCTGCTGCGCGGGGCGACGCCGAGGAGAAGGGGCTGGGGGCGCGCGCGGGGCCGAGCCCCCCTCCGCCGAGCGCGCCCGCCCGCGCCCC